CCCCCCCCCCCCCCCCCGACTAGATGATTCTGTTGATCTTCGAGACAACGCCTTCACTTTCGTTGACGATATATGTTGATGACATCTCAAAGATGGTTGTGGCTCCTTCGATTCTCTTCTCCCGTTCTCTTCTCTCGTTCTCTCCCTTGCTCCCACTTCTCGGGCGGCGATGATCCAGACCAAGGAGAGGCAGAGGCAAAACTCAAGCTGTAGACGTGATTGGCATTGCCAGAGCGATGAAAAAGGCAGGAGAAGACGTGGTGATGATAGTTGCCACCCACACTTGTGGCAGTCATACCTGGACGAAGCTGAGTTGCTCCTTCCCCATGACCTCCCGATCGGTGTGTCAATCGCTATTCACATTTCTCACCACCAACTCTCATTCCACCATCTTACCAACATCCCACATCCCCCCTCGCCCATCCAACATTCAACTCTGCACCAATTTTTGGGTCTTTTTCGTCACTCTTTACTCTATAGTTTCGTCCCTTTTTCGGGTTCATGCCTAGTGTTTGCTTCGTCAGTGTCACCGTTGCCCTATATCACGCGAATAGAAGTTCCAAGCAAATAGATTGCAACGGCTCTGAAGGTATTTGCCTGTCAGTGTTGGGCACGAAGCAGAACTTACCGTGGTACCGAACTGCAAGGCGATAGCGCCCACGCACGCACTCACGCTCCAAGCCTTGAGGCACAAGCAACATCCAACGCATCTGGAGAATCGAAATCACCTTGCTGGAAAGATAAGCCGTGTGATGACTATGCGCTCCATTGTATTGCACGCGCTCATTCTCCCTACTGTGTCAGCTGGTAGGCTGTTCGCCGACGATGCGTACCTCGAAAGTGCTTGGGAGGCTTCCACCGTAGCGAATGCCTCTCCCGCTTCACTGCCACGATCAGATATTCCATTCCAGACTATAACAGCTGAACACGAGAATATAGAGTGAGCTCCACAATGCCTCATCCATATACAGCTCACAGACGCTTACAGTGATACAGGCTCCGACAAGCACCGGACGTAGCTGCCAATGCTGCCCAGCCACCTGTTGATCCTAAAGCGATGCCGGAAAGCCCTGAGAATGCAGCCAAACAAGTAGAAAGTTCCACGGACCCAGCACTGCCTGCGCCTGGGGCAGCGTTCCCTGCACCAGCATCATCAACCTCTACCGAACTCCCACCCGCCAACCCAGACCCAGTAGACGCAGCACTTCCAGCAACTGAAACCTCATCCCCAATTCCAGCAAGCAAGTCCCCCCCAGAAGCCGCTCCCATGCCTGCACCACTCGTCGCCCCCCTTCCCTCAGCCGCAAGCCCCATCATAGCAGTCGTAGCCAGCGCCAGCGCCAGCGCCGCCACCACCACACCTCCCTCCCCCACAGGCGTCAAAGGCGACGACTACATCTCGGTGCAATGGGTCGAAACCTGGATTGGCGGTACATTCAGCACCTGGGTCCCCGAGACCTGGACCGTCCACTTTCCCTCACGCACACCTGGCCCAGCACCAGGAAAGGGCGAAATCGGCCTGGGCACCATCGAGGGCCAGGCCGGTAGCACGAGGACGATATATGAGGGTGCGGCGCCTACGCCGGCTGCGGTGTGGGCCAGGGGCGTGGCTGCTGCTGTTGGGATGGGTGTGTTGGGTCTTGTTGCGTGAGGGGTGGTGATGCTGGAGACTGTGACGCGCGGTGGGGGGTGTGAAGCAATTTGGTATGGCATAGTTATATGTGAACGAATACATGGTAAACGTTCAGCTACACTTATGACTGAACAGAGTAGGCGGGAGCCACCAAGCATGCACAAGACTACGAAGATATCAACGCGTACGGCGGGCATGGGACAGAACAGGGCTTTGGGGTTTTTCAAACAATGAATTTGGCTTAGATGGGCATGATGTAGCCGGCTACTTTTCACATGTACAATACTTTTTTCTTCGTCTAGAATGAAATACGATTTCGCTCAATGTTTTCTGTCTGACAAGAGCATTGGTGACGATCGACAGGAAAGAAAGAAAAGGAACATCTTCACCTTGATAAACAGTCAGGAGATTACATAGCACAAGTACTAGGAACAGATGAGCCATCGTCCACTATGCCATGCGTATACCGCGCCGCATCACAGTGACCAAATTTTCATCAAAGCTACATGCAATCATCATCATCACCCTCAATGAAAAGCAATTTCAACCCTGGCCCGTTGTCGCGGTTTGCCAATGCAGTCATCTGGCGAGGGCGCGTGGCCACGGGGATTCGGACGGCGGTGGATGTGAATTTCGGACGTGTTTGGATGACGCTGATGGTGTGGTAGGTGGCGTCTATGGTGACTTGACCGTGCACTCGCAATAGGACCGTGGTTTCTGTAGAGCGAGTGTGGAGAACTTGGGGGGCTGGATGGAGAGGGTGGGTTCAGGGGAATTGGTGGGGTGGTTTGATGAGGTTGGTTTAATGGGCTTGAGGAGGTTGGTGGGCTATATGGGGTTGGTGGGGTTTCGGTGGTCGAGGATGACTCTCGATAGTGTGTTTGACGGGAATGAGAGAGTTGGGGTGTTGAAACGTTGTAAGACGAGCTACGTTGGCGGCCTTGAGCACTTTGCGCGTGTGTATATCGACCCGAGGCTTTATCAGGCTGATTGTTGAACAGCCAGGACAGTAGGTTGCGGGATTGGGCAGTGTCGGGCACAATGGGTGTGAAGTCGTAGGAGGTTTCTACCGTTCGATGTCGACATATTTCGTCTGCTATTTTGCGGCAAATGGTGAGGGCATCGCAATGTTTGGTGGCACCTCGTGAGCAGTTTTGCGGGCAGCACTGCGTTTCTGGATTGCAGTGTGCTCCCAGACAGTTGCTGCGTTGCTGCTCGGTCTCAAAGCTAGTGTCCAGTGGTGAATGCACAGCCGTATTTGCGAGTGCGTGGCAGTGCTCCCAGGCTGCTACATCACTCTTTTGGAGATCCGCAAGGATGGCTCTAATAGCAAGAGAAATAACATTACATCCGGATGTGCTGATCTCTGGCTGTAAATCCTGGCCCACGCCTGCTGATACCAGCCCGAGGAGCGCATAGATGTAGTCCTGCCCACGGGAGCTCCAATTCTCCCTTGCTTGGTAGATGACACTGGCCAAGTCCATAGCAACTGCGTTTTTGATGTTGTAATCCATGATCCTGGCACAGTCAATCTTTCTAAAATGCGCACGGGTAAGCGTGGCCATGACGGCGAGCTCGAGAAAATATATCTCTTCCTGACCACAGACAAGCCGGTTCTGCTTGGACACAGCAATCTCTTGTAGGATCCTGGTACGAATGAATATGTTATCAACAAGAATGTTAGTCTCATTGACTGCTCACCATGTGCGCGCCCAGTATGGTTCTTGAAGAAGATGCCGTATTGCTAATTCGAGTTCTACAACATCCTGCACATCTTCATTCTGATCTTCATCCTCATCCCACTCATTTGGTGTTCTGAATCTAGCAGCACGATGTTGGGTTGAACTATTTTTAATGAGACGCATGCTGTGATGAAGCGACGGTGAGCCTATGCCTAGCCAAACTACAGTCTCTCTGGCCCCAGCATAGATCTCCTTCATTTGTGACAGTTGTGCAATCTTTTCTGGATTGTCATCGCGGTGAACCTGGTTGATGCAAAGGGCATCAACCCACCAGTATCCGGCCCATTGATGTGGAGCATGGACTTGTTGTAGCGAGACGTGGTGGAGAAAGTCGTATAGATTGGATTGTACCTGACTGACAGATGCATCGACCAAAATCTGACGCGTTCCACAGTCTGACCAAGCGTATGAGAGTGCTCGATAGCCATCCTCTGGAGGCGATTCCCGATTGAAGACCATCACAGTGCATCTAACGCCATTCTCCCCGTCATGCGGCAGTACGCGAATAAGCCTGATCTGATTGTCGGGATCCTTGAGTGCGGGATATTGCCAGCCCTTCGTAGCTGTGTCCTGAGAGTAGACTGCGGTATAGTTGCCTTTAGTGATAGCAGGCAGCTGGGAGGGTGCTGTGGTTTCATTCTCGTGCGCTGTGGAGCTGGATGTGCCAGAATCCTCCAGAGACTGATTTGACGATCGAGTATGAAAATAATTGAAAACGCGTTCAAACATGATGCATGAAGGAAGTCACTAGACCCGATGATGGGCGTACGAGGGGACAACAGAGGGTTTTACGTGTGTGATTTGAAGTAGTCAAGAGAAGGGTGAGAGCTGACATAGCCACGTTGCTGCGCCCATGGCTTGCCGACCACTGGCGACGCCATGTCTTAGCAGATGACGAAATGGCTCTTTGAAATACCTGAACCGAGCTGGAAAACGGTTGGAAAAACGGATTAATTGATGATGAAATCCAAGAGTGAACACTTTGCTGTCTGTGATGTTGGCAATGACATTGGTGGTCCCAGAGAGCTTCCCCCGCACTCGTGATCTTCCCCGTGACCTTGGCCGTGATCTCGTGACTCGTGGCCGCCCGCAGAGAAGGCTCGACTGACTCCCTCCAGGGTTGCTAGCAGCATTATCAATTATCAGCAACAGCAGGCCAGGCGGAGATCAGAGAGGAAACACTGTCGCGATAGACCGAATCTCTCTCTTCCATTGATTGAGCCGGTGCCCACTCTCCATAGACACGTTTGCTTTCCCCATACTACCGTACGCCGCTGCGAGTAGGAAAGCGACTCAAGTCAGACCCAGCTCAGCCGCCGGTACCCGACCGAAGACCGCCAACATGTCCAGCACGCAAAGCCCGCCAGGACCGCGGGGAACAGCGGGCGCCCAACACACTCGCACCTATCAGGCCTGCATTCCTTGTCGCCGGCGCAAGGTGCGATGCGGTATGTGTCCATGGCTCCAGCCTTGCTCTTCCTGCTCTTCCTGCTCTTCCTTGCCCTCGACCACCTTCACCACCTCCACTACTTCCTTCTTCTGCCAAGTCACAAAAGACATGTGTGCTGACCTGCCTGACCTGCGGCACCCTCAGACCTGGGACCAGTAGTAAGTTAAGCCTGCGACTAACCATCGCTACCTGTACTATCTATCGCTGGGCCCACGGCATCATTGATACACAGTACAAGTGCACGTGAGCATCCTGTTGATAGAATTGTGCCTCTGTAGGACCACCCCCACGACCCGCCCTGTGTGCGCTGTCGCCGTGAGAGCAAGGAGTGCTTCTTCTCGGCCACGCGTCGCAAGAGGAAGACGGACGGCGAGGACGACTTGGACGATGTCGACGACTACGCTGTACGCAATGGCAGGAAGCGCCAGCGCTCAGACGACGTGCGCCCAGAGCCCACCACCATCACGGCGACGACGACCAGCACCGCCTACATCTCCCAGCCCTTGACTCCGGGCGGCTCGGTTGGCCGCTATGAGCCTTTGCGCCGGCCCACCACCTCTGCGAGCCACGACCGCCAGCAGAACGACGAGGAAGACCAAAAGGTCAACAACGAGACCCTGGCTACGCTGCAGGCGGGCGAGGTGTACAGTGGACACGATGCGCTGAACCTGCTGTTCGAGGCAGCCGGCATGAACAGCCACCACCGCACCACTAGCACTTCGAGTCTTCAGCGGCCGACGCTGGGCAGCACGCCAGGCTCGCAGAACAATTTTGCCAGCCCCCAGCCAAACACGTCCAACATGCGGAGCCACTCGCGCGCCGCTCCCGAGCCAGCCGTCGATCCCGCCCTCCACCAGCCCATCATTCCAGATCCGCCGAACGAGCAGGCGTTTGCGGATGCGGTCAGGGCCTGGACCAAGTTTCGCTTTGTGCGTGCAGGCTGGCTCACAGCAAAGGAAGCCATTGCCTACATCGACTATTTCTACACCTACCTGTCCCCCCTAACGCCCATCGTCGTGCCGGATTACCGCGACCATGCCTTCCACGGCAAGATGCTGAGGGAGGAACCCATGCTGGTCATCACCTTGCTCACCATCTCCGCAAGATACTCGCAACCCAGTGGCTCCTGTGGCGTTGGTGCCACTTCGCGCTCCTATCTGATTCACGAGAAGCTATGGAAGTACCTTCAAGGCATGATTGACCGCATGATTTTTGGTCAGGAGCAGTTTGGAGGTGGCTTCTGCGGTGCAGGACAGCAGCCGGGATCCGATGTGAACCCCTTGTCTCGCAAAGGCCTTCGAACGCTTGGCACGGTCGAGAGTTTGATGTTGCTCACCGAGTGGCATCCGCGCGCTCTTCACTTCCCACCTGGCGATGACGATGACGAGCTCGTCCTACCGGATGACCCGTACGAATCGGGCCCCAAGGCTGACATGTACAAGGAAATCGGCGATCAGCGGATCGATAGCTGGCTAGAGCCATGTTGGCGCAGTGACCGCATGTGCTGGATGTTACTTGGCAATGCCATGTCGCTGGCCTTTGAGATTGGTGTTTTTGACGAGACGAGCGAGACCGAGTTTGAGGAAGCGAATCAACATCTTTCGCATGCGACTGTGAAGGCATATTATCGACGGAAGAATCATTTACGAGACCTGCTCATCATCTACGTCACACAAACGAGTGGAAGACTGGGCCTGACATCGATGCTTCCCAAAATCGACGCGCGCGATGAGAGTCTGGCCGGAGGTCCTACTCCCTTGGAACTCTATCAGGAGCGCATCAGCCGCATCAAAGCCCCTCCACCACAATTTGGTATGCGATCCGACGGACAACGTCTCCCCTTGGAATCGATTGCAACACAAGAACGTCACGCCGTTCAAGATCTGGTGCTAGACTTCTGGCAACGCATCGCCAAAGTCATGGAAATGGGAAACCTAAAACTCTTTTCCAACCGCAGGAAAACTCGAGAACTTCTCAAAACAGGAAGCTATGAGGAAATGCTCAAGTTCTTTCAGGGTCCCTTGCAGGAATGGCGAACATCGTTTGATCGCGCACATCAAGTTCCCGCTCAAATTCGCCATGTGCTCATAATCGAATTTGAGTACACGCGCGTTTATTTGAACTCGCTTGCCCTGCAAGCGGTTGTAGAACGCTGCACGCATAATACGCCAATGCAGACGCATGCCCAACCCCATGGCGTTCCGAACAGCAACGGCAATGCCAGAACCGCAAATGGTACCGATGATGGCGGCGCAATCCCCTTTTCCACGCTTGTAAAATGGTACGCCAACGACCGCCATTACATCAACGAAGTCATCGATGCCTCGCGCAACGTACTCCGCGTTGTTGTTGACGGTCTCTACCCCGGTGGATACCTGCGTCATGCACCTGTCCGCACCTTCTTCCGCATCGTCAGTGTGGCCATCATCCTACTCAAGACCTTTGCTCTCGGTGCTACCGAAGAAGACGTCGCGGTTTCCCTTGGCCTGCTGAGCGATTCAGTGGATGCGCTCCGGACGAGTATCGTGGATGATGTACACGTGGGAAACCGCTTCGCAGACCTCGTCGAAACACTGACCCACCGGATTCGTGCTCGCTTTGTCCGTGTCGCCGCCAACGGTTCAACTGGCATCTCGCGTGCAGGCAGCAAAAGTCCCGGCCAAGCACCCCTTATGCCGCCTCCCGCGTCCGTAGGAAACAACAACAATAGTATTAACCCCGGCTATATCGGCGGTGAACCGAACGGCTTCACCTCCATCCCAGGCTCCGCGTCCCCTTCCCTAGCCACAGGCGGTCTCGCAAACGGCTCAGGTCGCGCAACTCCCCTCTGGGGCATCAGCGTCGAGCCCTATGATCCAAACAGTAACTCCATCTCCATTATGCCGCCACCCGGAAACTACAACTTTCCCGCCCCCTCGAATGGCAATCCCTCCTCAGCCTCCAACAACGGCCCCAACAACACGGGATCGACGTGGTCACAATGGGCGAATCACAACAACAACAGTAACGGTGGTTGGGGCGCCGGTGGCCACGATCAGGACTGGCTTGCACTGCCCCTGGATCCGCTGCTCGATCAGTGGGGCGCGGAAATCAATCAGACGGCTATGGGGCCGGACGTCGGGGGGATGGATATGTTGGATATTTTGCTCAACATGGGGGGGCCGCCGGGGAGTACGAGTTAGATTGGGAATGCAGGAACGTGAGCGGGAGGGGGATGGGGGGTTGGAGTTGGATTTAGTAGATGGTTTGGGGCTCAAAGGACGAGGCCAGTATGGCACGAGGATAAAACACTGCCAAGAATGAGATTATGATGATAATGAAGATTATGATGAAAGGGGAAATTTACAGAGTCCCCATTTTGTTGGCACGGCGAATAGCTTGCGCCGGCTTTGATTTGTAACTTCTGGGACCCGGAATTCTTTCTCTTTTCGACGGCTTCTGGAGTCTGGAGCGCGGAGTCTGGAGTCTGAAGCGCAAAGGGCATATGTTCTCGTTGTGTTGGTTCGGATAGAGAGGGTTGTGTTCTCCTTCCAAGGACTAGGGGATATGGATATCCACGGCCTAGGTTTACCAGTGTTTGTTCAATGTCAATCAAATGCAAAGCTGCACGCAATAGAATTCGTCGATGCATTTACGCGCCCCGTGTTATACACAGCTCATGGATGGTTTTTGCGCTGGGGTGGGAGGGGGTGTTTGGCTGGGAATGGGGCTGGGGCTGAGGTGGATGAACGACGTGTGAGTATGTGTGGGGAGGAGAAGGATGTGGGTACACTGAACATCCAAAGTTAGGGTGGTCTGTCAACTTGGTGATTTGTCAGACTACCACCAGGCATAACAGTATACTTGGGTTGGGGTTGATTTTCCAAGTTGGCACAGAGTCCTCTACTCTGTTTTGCCATCCTACCTTGCATCTTCCTTGACAGGAATACTACCATCACACCTCACGCAAGTCTCTTGATCTCAAGGGCCATGCAAAAGTGCCACTACCAATACAAACACCAACAAATTACATCCATCTCCATCTCCTCAAGATTCAAAGCCACCCGTCATGTATACCAAGCCACATGGAGCAATCCATTTCTTTGGTCTAATAGGTCCAGTTAGTTTCACTCGCTCATGCACTCCCAAAAAGTAACAAGAAGAAGAGGGGAAATAGGAAGACAAAGGCCAAAAAAACATACCCTAGGTCGACCACCCTCCTCACACTTCGGTGCCTGCCCAGACCACTGCGCAGCCCGACACTCGCCACACTCCTTCCACGTCTCATCATCATACCACGTGCAGCCCTCATATTCGAGCCGAAGGCGGTTACGTTCCCAGTCAAAAGCGCCAATCGTCAAGTTCTTGTACGCTTTGACGCCGTGGTTTACAGTCTGTTTCTCCTCGGGCCCAAGCTGGAGATTCTGAATGCTTGGTTGACGGCCATTGTAGAAGCTCGCTTTGACCTGGCGCTGGTGCTGGTCGCAGTAGTCGGTGAGGGTGACGTGAAAGGGGAGGATGACGATGGTGTAGCGGGTGCCGTCTAGGTCCCAATAGTGCTCCTTGATGGTGTCTACACGTGAGCGGGAGGCTGTGACGAGGGATTCTGGGGAAGTAGTGGGGGGATTTGTGAGGGCGTGGACAGGGTTGTTGGGAGTGGTGGTATCGATGGATGGGATGTTCTTTCTCTTAATCAGCTTTGGGGTGTCGATGTATGGGATGTTTTTTCTCTTAATCAGCTTTGGGATGTCGTAGGGCATGGGCACCGGACCGGCGCGTGTAAAGTCGAATATGCACGAAGCTATGTAGGACTAGGAACTGTTAGTATAGATGCAATTGATGCTAGTAAGCGCACCTACTCTCGCAAATATTGGCTTGGATTTGCAGTCAGGCTGATGACCGTTGCCCTTCCATCCATTGACGACGCAGAAGCCACAAGCCTGACTGTTGAACCTGTCCATGGACCACTTGCAAGTTCCGAATTGAAAATTGAGAACAGCTGCAGATTCGTCAGTGCATGCTATACAGCGAGCTATGGGGAGCGTACAGCTACCGGTACCCATTGTCAATTTCACTGGTCCAACCTCCGTGTTTACAAAGTACGCAGCCCCAGGGTCTGACATATCTGGGATGTCGACCGAGGCGTGGTCACGGGTGTTTATCCACTGCAATCCCATCTTTTTGGTTTGGTTATCACAATATTCATCGACGGTGACGGAGAAACCAAAGGTCGTTCCTCTAACCGTGGCCAACATCAAGGCAGGGTCTGAGAGCTCCTCGTGCGCGGTGACGGGCTGGGCCTCTGAAGGAGAACGAACACCAGCGCCACCCACAATTGGACTGGCAGTTGCAACAGAGGCGAAGATGATCCCAAATAACAGTGCTAGAGGAAACCTCATCGTGGCTACTTAGACTGCCTTGTGCGACTTGAAGGTGAGTGAATGTAAGTGGCGGTTGAGTGTCCACCTTTCATGACTTGGTCAGAGAGTGTGTACCTTTACCATCCTCATGTAGAATTGACTCACCTTGGCTGATAGAAAACTATATGGAATGATGTTGCAAATGAGTGAGCACGAGGAGTCTTTAAACGCTCGAGAAGGGGGTTGAGTATCATGTATGGGGCTAGGCAAAAGGCACCATCACAAACGGCAGGAGCGTGAGCACGGGCACTTGGAATCGAGCAAACAGTCAGGAGGCCAATGAGATAATAGTGTTGGAGCCTGAAGTGATTAGTCCGACACTAGGCAGACGGCTATTGGAAGATATCCAAGTGCAACGCAATACAATCACATGTGGAGGAGTTGCATGATGTGAAATGCAGACAGGATAAAGTGCAAATGAGAACACGATTGAGAGTTGGAGTGATGAATGACAGTGTGAAAGGTATTACAATTCAACTATGGCATTATCTATGCGTTAGGAGGCACGACACAGTGGGTATAAGATAGGAAGAGAGATTTGGACCAAACATCTGGGAGTACCAGTACCAGCACCAAGTGAGGATAGTAAATGAAACCAGCTCGACATACGCACAAGAAATAGAGAACAGTAGTGATGGGTAAAAATGTGAACTACAAAAACAAAGGAGAGATTAGCGTCTGCTTTTTCGTGTGCCATTGCGACTGGGCCTCTCGTCTCTCAGCGGTTGCTGCATAGCTTGCCGAGAGCCAGCCATCTGATTCTCTATATCAGGCACCCGTCTCCCATCATAGGAGCGCTGGGGTTCGCGGACAGCGTCATGGTCATCGGCGAATTCGTTTCGCCGGGCACCGGCCTCGTCGTCAAAGTCGACATACACAGAGGCAGGGCGAGGTCGACGCTCTCTGGGCAGCTGAGAATCCTTGGCTTTGAGCTCGTCGGGCTTGTAGACCTTGTCGAGATGTTCTTCGAGGAGGCGGACGTTCTTGCCGTTGCACTTGACGGCCGCATCTGCAATGTCGCCGATAAAGGGAACAAGACCAACCAAGAAATCAATCGCCAGATTGATCAGCATCATGACCAGGACACTTGATGGCAGGCCACACTCGATCTTCCTCATGCCTCTGATCAAGTTGAGTGCGAGGGCAGCATCCGCAAAGTCGCCAATAGCGGGCACAAGACCGATGACCGAAGCCCAGCCAAAGCGGATTCCAGCAAAGGTGAAGAGAGCATAGTCGAGCCTATAGGCAGTTTTGCGGGCTTTTGCAAGCACATCGGCATCATGGGGTGGGATGTAGGCTGCAATCTGCTTCTTTACTTTCTTGGTCTTGTTGGGTTTTGTCGGATGGGGGATCACTTCGTAGTAGGGATCCTGTACGTCATCAGTCAAGGGTCAAGGGGAAATGGGTTGAAAAGGAGGAAAAAGACGGGATATTTACATAGGGACCGGCAGCATCCTTGCTCTTGTACTTTTCCATCTCCTTGCCCAGCACCTTCTTCATGGCATACTTTGCGATGAGCCCAGTCATGGTGGTGGCGGTGTTGTTGGATGTGGACTGCAGTAGAAGTGGTGCTTGCTGTGTTAAAGGGGAAGTCGAGTTGAGGTGATGATGACTGTTTACAAGAAGATGTCCAAGCGGCCTTGGTTATATGGCCCACGGATCAAACAAGATCCTTTGCGAACAATGCGATGTCGCGGCAGTCCAGAGTCAAAGGTGGGCGGGTTGTGTGGTGGTTGGCTGGCGGTTGTTGTTGGCTAGAAAATGTGAAACGGGCGCGTCGCTCTCTATGTATAGACGGCGACGGCAGCGGCCGAAGTGATGTGGCAGGCACGAACAAAGCAGAGCAGACTTTTGACAAGATCAAAGGTGAAGCATGCAAGACAGGAATTGTGAATGGGGCATGGGGGGGGGGGGCCGAGCGACCGTCTTTATTACATCACCAGGCTGGCGGTGAGTCGCTGGCTAGGACTTTTTACTCTAGTAGACTGACTGTAGAGTTGTTGTCGACGTGCAACATGCTGCCCTGATTTGGGTAACATGACGCTGCTGTGGCTCAACAAAGTTGCTTTGCATTGTGATTGGTTGAGTGTGCCACTGCCTGCACAGCCTCGACCAGCCACCCGCCACAGTGAGGCAACTGTTTGGCCGACGTTTCCCCGGCACGTTAGTCAGCCAGCCAGTCAGTTCTACTCTACCTGAGGCTGAGGGTGGGAGAGAGAGAGAGTGGGAGAAGTGGGACCTGAACAGTTGAACAGTGAGTGAGCACCACCACCACCTGGCACCACCTAAAGAACGCGCTGGCCAACGCGTGCACCCTTCACTAACTTCCCCTCCCCCTCCACCCTCTCCTCCATCCATCCATCCATCCATCCATCCATCATTCTTGGACATTCTTTTGCCCTTAGACTGGCCGTGTACCGCAGCACCTCAACGCAAACAGTAGCCTAGCTGTCAAACAGTTGAACAACATCAACCTTCACTCCCAACACGCCTCCTCGACTATCGCTAGCAACCACCCGACGCGACCTTTTCTTCTACCTTGTCTTGCCTCGTCTTGCCCTGCCTTGCCTTCCCAACCACACGCGACGCGACAGCTGTCCACACTCCCCGCCCGCCAACTGTACCTAGGTAGCTCCCCACCTGCTTTTGGGGCGCACCCATCTACCACCAACTCTACACCAAGAGTATCATCGCCGCCCACGGCATGCGCGACACGGGCCAGCTCGACACCCACCACCCACAACATGACAAACACAAAAATGACGCTCGTTGACTGGCTGGACGACTTGTGCGTCCGCTTCATCGTCAACCTGCCCAACGAAGAGCTGCAGTCGGTCGAGCGCATTTGCTTCCAGATCGAGGAGGCCCAATGGTTCTATGAAGACTTCATCCGCCCGCTCGACCCCCACAACCTGCCCTCGATGCATCTGCGCAAGTTCTCCCAGCTCATGTTCCAGCACTGTCCGCTCTTCTCCGCCTACTCGGAAGAGCTGCACCAGCAGGCCTATGAGCAGTTCCTCGCCTACAAGACCCGCGTACCTGTCCGAGGCGCCATCATGCTGAACAAGGACATGACCCACGCAGTCCTGGTCAAGGGCTGGAAAAAGGGCGCCAAGTGGAGTTTTCCTCGCGGCAAGATCAACAAGGAGGAGACGGACCTGGACTGCGCAGTGAGAGAAGTCTGGGAAGAGACGGGCTACGACCTGCACGAGGCAGACCTGGTCATGCCCGACGAGAACATGAAGAAGATTACAGTCACCATGCGCGAACAGAGCATGATGCTCTACGTCTTTCGAGGCGTGCCCATGGACACCTATTTTGAGCCGCGCACGAGAAAGGAAATCTCCAAGATTGACTGGTACAAGCTCACGGACTTGCCTACACTGCGGCGGAAGAATCAGACCCAACAGCAGGGGCAAGGTCAGGACTTGGTCAAGGAGAGCAGCTTCTACATGGTCGCCCCATTTCTGGGTCCGCTAAGAGCATGGATAAAGCAACAGCACAAGCTCGACAAGCAAAAAGCGAGGAATAGTGCACACGTTACCGCCCCGCCTGTCGCCATGACCGATGACGAGGACATACAACAGCCTGAGGTATATGAGACCACGGCTGATGAGGCGGGTCCAGTTGCGGGTATGCCTCGCAGCGACAACCTTGCGGGCCTTGCAGCCCAGCTAGGACACGGGCGACAGGGCGAGAATTTACCAGAAGTGTCGAACCACCACCACTACCACCAGCAGCCTCAAGAGCAAGGACAAATTGCAGATCCTGCAGCGGAGCTAAAGAGGTTGCTTAGTGTAGGTGTGGGCATGCAGTCACATCCTGTCGAAGCACCCAGTATGCCTCTTCCAACCCAACATCACCAAGCAAACCCATTGCTTGCCTTGTTCCACCAAGGGAACAATCAGCAAAGTCCTCAGATGCCTCCACCGCGGACACCCTTCGACCAAGCCATACCATCTCCCATGCAGCCTTCAAGCCCTCATGGCCAGCACCAGCCACGCCAACCACAAATGGGTAGCATGGGCCCACCACCATCGTTTCCTTATCATCAGCAGCAGCAACAGCAGCAGCATCACCAAATGCCATATCGAGGACCTCCCCAATTCAATGGAATGCCTCCGCTTTCCATGAACCACTATGTGCAACCACAGTCACACAATAATCCTCACTTCCCACCGCAACCACCCAACATGCAGCAAGCCTTTGACCAACGCCACCCACAAATGATCCATGAAACGAGCAACTCGCAATTTGCTAGTGATCATGGACGACCGGCAATACCGTCCGCCTCGAACCTGCCAGCTCCAAACTTAAATGCACATACCCTTGGACTGTTGAATAGCTTCAAGAATGGTAGCCAGCGGCCACCACCACCACCACCTCAGTCATCTGTAAATACATTTCAGGGACAACAGAGCGCGCATAACACGCCGAGAATACAACATCGTCCACACGACTTGGCATCTCCTCGGGGATCATATGCTCCAAGTCCACCCAAATTCCAGTCACCGGCTATCAGTGCAAACTTCCAGCCTGAACAGCCGATACCTCGATCTCTGCACCAGGATTCGCTCTTGACACTCTTCAGAGGCGCGACGCCTGTCGCGAGCCCAGAGCCTGTCGAATTGTCTGCACATCCAAAGACTCCTGGTAACATGGCTGCACAACCGGCGTCCAATGCTTCCAAGGTACCCAATGCAGACCTACTCAACGCATTCGGTCCTGGTTCCAAAAAGAGTGTGACACAGGCGACTGTGAACAGACCTGTCAATGTACCTGACTTTGAGACGATGAAGAAGTACTCGCATCCAGCTAGCGGCAGTTCACGGGGGCCATCTCCTCAGATGCCGTTCATGCCACAGCAAATACTCAAGCGCGGCTCTACTAGCAATATCTCAGGAGGGTCTTCGAATGCCACGGCTGTACCGCCCAAGTCTGCACAGCCAAATGCTGCAAGTGCATCGGTCGCGCCACAGGCGGTGTTCAAGCCCCAAATCTTGAAGAGACCTCAGCAGGGGCTGCAACAAACATCACAGGCCCAAAATGCCACACCTGCACCTGCAACCAAGCAAACAGCTCATCAAATAGGCTTACTGGACATGCTCAAGGGCCCTTCACCACAGTCCGCACCTACACAACCTGTTCACCCAGTGCAAGCAAGTCGTTCTCCGCCCCCCCCTACAGGCCACACCCAAGGCCTTCTCGATATGTTCAAAGGCGTAGGCATATCTCCCAACCCACCAACCACCCAACCTACATCCATGCACACGCGACAATCCCCAGCTCCACCTCCAGAGCATAAACAAGATTTGCTCAACATCTTCAAACGCGCATCATCCTCATCCCCTCGACCTTTATCCAATCCTTCTGCCCAACTACTACGTACCAGCCTCTCCCCCGCACCAGGAAATCCAGCCACGAACAACGAGCACCGCGAATCCACATCAGCGGAGAAATCCAACCTCCTCGCCCTCTTTAGCAAACCGTCTCCGCAAACCCAAGGCGTCAATCTGGCCCGAGGACCTCCACCTCCGCTCAAGCCGTCGCGTAGCCCTGCGCCGGGATTCCAGCATTTACCTACGACCAAGACGAACATGCCCGGCGTCATTAGCCGTGTAAGTTCACTGCACGGGGGTGTTGGTGGTGGTGCTGGTGACGAAGGCGTGCACCTTGGCGGCGTAGGCGCTGGAACCAACGTGGCAGGAACGTTGGCAACAGGCCAGGCATCAAAAGGAGGAGATGGGGATAAGAGTCCCGTGGATAAGACGTTTCTCCTTGGATTCTTGGAAAATGTGGCACGTAGGGGTTGAACGGTTGAGTGTTTTGGTTTGGTTCTGGTTTTCTTCGCGTGCAGGTGCGTGCTTGTGTGCATGTAGGGTATAAAGGTGAGTAAGTAGGCAAGGAAGTAAGCGAGGGGTATGGTATACCGAAGGATTTTGGGCCTAGAAGATGTAGAGTAGAGGAGATTAGGGTTTGGGCAGCAGAAGAAAGAGTATTCTAATATTGACATATTACTTGAGTCTATCATTTGTTCTATCTTAACGTACAGAAAATAACGAAAATAGGTACTAGAGCTACAAAACATTCCTTTTCCGGATACACTTTTGTGTTGAACATGACTTAGGGATTTTTTATGGATGTTGTCGTTGTTGTTATTTTATCCTCTGTATGCTTCTGTGCTCTATGCTTCCCCCTTCGCCTTCGCCTTCTCTTCCTCTCCCTACCCTCTCCACCCTCCATCCTCCACACTTTCCCCTCCTGCACCCTATGCCCCACCCACCCAAAGCACTCCTCCCCACACCACCCACGTCTCAATCCAAACAAAGGATAATTCCCCCCTCAGAGATGCCATCGCCTCTGTTATGAGCGCAAGGCGAAAAGTCGTACGACTTAAAATTAGTGTTCTTATGATATAGAGTCTTAGGGGGAGTTAGAAGCGGGGGCAATAGAGTGGGGAGTGTAAAGGAAGGCAAAGAGAAGTGGTAAAATCATATAAGATATATAGACACATTGATTTCCTATAATATAACTATTCTCCCATATAGGGGTACATACGTATGCTAGACAACCAATATAGATACCCGTTTGATGCATTTCCACAAAACTCCCAACGTACCGTGAAACCCACCGCCACAGTACTAGTATGATTACTCCTCCCAACAATTCTACACACTGCCTTATCCTTCTTGAAGAAGAAAAAATCACCAGGCGATTTTGTCGTGTTGTCTTGGGCGTGTATTGGGATTTACTAGTTGTTTCTCATCTATATGTTCACCAGCCTCGCCTCTTCGATCCCTCACACTTCCCGCCGTGCATGGTTCACTCCGGCTCATACCATTCTAGCCTCATGACCCCCAGTACCACGCCTTGCATCGTCTCGACGCGACACAGCGTCCGGTAAAGGCAACACGAGAGTACCCGTACACGACTGTCTTGTTTCAAGATTTGTAATCTCCAGATGTGGCCGGAATGGGATTAGGCAATTACCGCATCGCGACTGCGATTATGCGGACAAACGGGCGTATGCGTTTCCGTGATATAGAAGGTGGGTCGATTTTTTGAATCTAGATTCCAAGATTCGGGTCTGAAGAAACCGCGTGGGGGTTAGGGTGTAATGGTATCATGCAATGCTGTTTTGATGAGTTGGCTGGGTTTGAGTTGGGGTTTGTTTGCGCAGTTGAATACGGATAGCGAATGGCAGATATCAGACGCATGGATAGAGTCTACTAGTACACGGCAGGTAGGAATGCATTGCTGATGCCTGCTACTGCGCAGGAAGGTGGTGCTGGATGGCATGAAGATGCGGTTTTGACTTTGGCTTTGTTTATGACTACAACTATGACTACAACTATGACTACAATCTGTCCGTCTCTCTTGCCCTCGACGGACCAAAGGCTGGTTAATCCACCTAATTTCCTTGCTATACGCTGGAATGCCGATAAAAGACATGTTAAATGACAGATCCTAAAGAAACACGTGCTATGTTGCCATAGTATTGCCCAAAATGAAGAGGAAAGAAACAACCGAGCTACCATGATGAACAAGCAAAATCGGTAAGAAGCGACTGCGACTGCGGAGGACTGGAAAATATGCACAAATAACATTTGACATTGGATACTGAACATACAACCACCTGCCATCATCATTCAAGTGCAGCATTCTTTCTCCCCCTGTCCAAAACTTCACTAGGAACTTCACTCCTCACACTAAACCGAACCTCTGTTCCCGGGTGCGCCCTGAAGATTGGCGCCGTCTGTACAGTCGTCGCAGTGTCGTGTCGTGCATGCTTGACATTTTTGCCTGCTAGTCCGCCTCCTGCCCCTCCACCTTCACTCCTGGTACTCGCGCTGCGGCTCAAATGTTGCGGTACGCTTGGCATCTCGGGTACAGTGTCAATGTCGTCGTGGTGATTGTTAGCATCTCCGCCAGAGGAGGTGGACGATTGCGTCATCCGGAATTGCTGTTTCAACCGCAGCTCCTGGACGCGCGTCGTCTGCTGGCTCACCCATGAGTCTACGGTGCGGAAACGTGGGACAGAGGACCGTTGCGTCATGAAGCTGTCGCGCCCGACGGGTGGCGCGGCCGTGTCACGAGATACTTCGTGGGGTGTTTGAGGGGCATTGGAGTTTGTCCAGCTGAAGCGGCTGGCCATGGGCCCTCCGCAGCCAGGACGTTGCGAGATGGAGGGCCGGTTGGAAAGGAATTGGCGGAATGTTGGAGGAGGTGGGAGTGCGCGCTGAGGGCCAATGTCTTCGGGGTATCGGAGCTCTTCAGATTCACCGTCTAGGGAACGGGTGTTCCGGGTTGAGGCGCTCCGGCGGAGATCTTGGTAGGGGAGGACCGGTGAGGAGGGCGTTGCGCTGTCGTTGCGACGGTGGGAACCGGTTTGCGATGGTGTGTCATCGTAAAAGCTCTTGTCTTGCGACGGGATTCTTTCCAGTCCTCCTTGTTTGAAGCTGTCACTTCGTTTCAAGGCTTGCAATGGTCGCTGTGATCTTGAAGAAGATGAACGGGTGAGTGAGGCTGCTCGTTGGGGAGCGTAGACAGGGTTCTGTTGTTGAGGAGAATAGGCTGGGGTCTGCTTTTGAGGATGGTGGACAGATTTTTGCCGTTGAGCATAGTAGACCGCGTACTGCTGTTGAGGGTAGACTGAGTTTTTCTGTGCGCGTCCGTATCCACAGTCGTGTACCTTTTCCATGCCGTAGTGCTTCTGATCCATTCCATATTTTGCTGGGGGCGGTGGTGGGCCACGTCGTAAGTGACTCTTACCCTGATGAATCACGTCCGCCAGAGACAGACCACGCTTACGCATAACATAGAGAGCCAAGATAATCATGACAATGATGATCGTTGCACCTACACATGTCAGTGGAAATTAGAAGGGGCTTGCATTGTTCTCGCTTACCAATGGAACCTGCAGCAATGAGTAAATGCTCGGTAGTCCGCGAGATCTTGCCATCACCATCATGTCGTGATGGTGATGGCGATCCCACTATGACAGTCTCCCTGGGGTCGTTATCCGCAAGAGCGGGAGGTGTAGCCTGTGTGAGAGGATCCAAAGTCGCGGTGATTTGAAACTATCATTGTCAGCCAAGTTACCTGACTGCCTGCTTCCAGGTTTCCTTACAGCTGGGAGTCCTGTTGGAAGTGTTGCTGTTGCCGTCATAGTCGAGGTTACGGTGCTGATTGTGGAATTGAATGCAGGTTCATCCTCTTCATCATCACTGTCGCTGTCGATATCCGTAGGCTCAGGAGCCTGTCTCTTGGTGTATGATCTTCGAAGTCTGCGGTTCGCTGTAGCCGTGGAGTCTTGCACTTCAACATTGTGGGCTTGAGCCTCTTTCTTGTCCACCACACCTCTGTTCACCACAATGTAATCCACCTTTTCATCCACCCATTGTCGCCATGATGGGGGCATCTTGTTCGATAACTTGGGCGTATGATGGGGAAGCCCCGGTCAGTCTTCCTGCCGATTGTATGTTCCAAACAACATCTGCAAAGTCGTCCAGCGATTGTGCTCTTCGCGATTGAATGGTGAATTACAGCCCTAAGCCTGCAGGACCGTGACGTTGAGAAGCGAAGTTGAAGGAAAGTCGCGTGTATTAGCAACAACAGCCGGCCTGCGGAACGAAGGACAGAAGGAAAGCAGGTTGGCAGAGAAGGAGCGGAAGGCTGGGCGAACGACCAGGAGCAGACATGTTCATGCAACTGAGGGAGGGGCCGCACATTTGAGAGAGATGCATGAAGGAGGCTGCTAGTGAGTCGTTGCTGGTCCCATGTCGGTTTGAAAGACAAGGCGAGAGGCCGGTGCGGCCCTAGGATGAGAGTGGCAGGTTTGTCAACAATAATGTTGCGCAAGTTGCTACGAATGGCCGGATGGGAGACTGTTTGGAGCCCCTAAAGTGGCCATATGGGGGTAAGCGGATCGAAAAGTGTGGGCCAAATGCGAATGTAAGCTCTGTGATGGTGTCTTGGAACTGTCTCAGGGGAGAGTGGGAGCGTTTCAACTTCCGCAGCCGTGACACTATCGGCGCCACACGGGGATATCGTGAGACTAACATGTCCTGAGGTTGGATTACTTCTTCGTTCATGTACCCTACAGCCGTTGTGCAGGCGACACGAGCGTGGGCATCTGGATCTTGCAACAGGAAGTCTTGGGTCGCGACAGCAGCTGTGCACGGCGGTGTACCGGTACCTACAGTCCCTTACGGTACCTACAGCAGGTAAGCCAGCATTTCCTACTGGTCAAGGGCAGAAGCCACTCCTGTCCACGAACCGAGCAAAGGGCTGCGCCTCACGATGGCGCACGCTGGGGATGGCGCATACCATGGCAAGCATGGGTACATGGTAGGCTCAAGTAGTATGTAGTAGGTATGTTGTAGTATCTAGAGTAAGTACTCTACCGGTAGGTAGTTGGTCGCTTGTGCCGTCGGACGGGCTCGGACTCGGAGCCAATGTTCGCTGCGATTCGGCCGAGCGAGGAACCCACCGGTCTTGAATGACGCGCAAGACGCAGATGGCGTTTCGTGGAGAGAGGCCGCAGTGGACAGGGTGTGTGTTTCTTGGTCCATATGTATGGCACATCCACACAGAGGGGGCAATCTGTGTATCGGAAACATCTGGAGATGCCAAGGAGAACACCCACCGGCAGCTGCCGTACGGTACTGTTCTGTACAAGCGAACGACGGCCGTTGAACTCGGACGAGCTTGCGGTTTGAGGCTGAGTTCAGTGTGTTCAGCTGCCATGGCCCTGCTCCGCCTCCTAACTGAACCTAGGTTTCCTGGTCATGAGGTGGGGGTGGGATCAAGTGTTGTGTGAGTGAGTGAGTGAGTGTGGATGTATGTGTGCAAGTCATGAGAGAATCGAAGACTATAAGTCCAACGTCTGCCTGCTGTGTGGTGTTCCCTCTTCTCTCTCCATCATTACCATACGGTACAATACCATTCCCTCTTCTCTCTCCATCATTACCATACGGTACAATACCATTCCCTCTTCTCTCTCCATCATTACCATACGGTACAATACCATTCCCCATCTCGTCTCCATCTTACGTCAACCAAACAAGGTCACACCCCCTTCCGCAGCCAAGTTACCGTACCCCTCTATCGACCCCTCATTTGAGTAATCACACGTCAAACGTCAACCTACCCATACTCCAACCCTCTCCCTCTCCACACCAAACGACACGCTCGAAACACCCAAAATGTCAGGACCCTACGACCAATACAACCAAGGCTATCAACAGTACCCACCTCAAGGCCAGGGCTACCAACAGCAACAAGGCTATGAGCAGGGCGGTTATCAACAGCAAGGCTACCCAGCCCACCAACAATATGGCCAGCAACAACAAGGCTATGGCGCGCCCCAGGGCCAGTACGGCGCACCTGCGCATGGCGGCTTCCAGCACGGTCAACAAGTAACGCCGTACGGTCAGCAACAGCAAGTGTGAGTTGGCCCAGACTTGCGTGACGTGTGACGAGACTGATTTGTGATGTGATGCCTAGTGGTTATACGCAACAATCACAGTACCCTGGTCCTCAAGCTCACAACCAATTCCCTCAACAAGGGGCATACAGCCAAGACCAATACCCTCAAGGCCAGAATGCAAACGGCCAGCATTACGGTTCAACCGATCCCAGTACACAGGCTGAGGGTGACCGAGGCCTTATGGGCGCCCTGGGAGGCGGCGCAGCGGGCTACTTTGGAGGCAAGAAGTTGGCAGGCCATGGCATCATCGGTGCTCTAGCAGGCGCAGTCATGGGTTCCAAGCTCGAGGACAAGCACAAGAAGAAGAAGCAAAGCACCAAATGGTGAAGTCGCAATCGACTTTGCATTACCTAGGCACCCCCCCTTGAGTCTTGAGGGTGGTCCTTTTGCTTGACGGCGTCATGGACTTCCTATTCTATTGGGCATTTCTTTTCAGTTTTCATAGGCCATGAGAGGAAGCATCAATAGACTACTATTAAATGGTAATCACGATTCATACCGTACCCTATGTTAACCACAGTCTCGGGTCCTTGGCGATCACACTGCATATAATACTGGTATATCGCCCGTCTGGCGATCCGGGTAACGCCACACCAAGCTGATTCTGCCTTACACACACCCTCGACGTACTTGAAACGAAACTTAAGTCCTTCAAATATAGCCTCAAAAAAAGAACGGCCGATTGCCTACCCCAACGATCTACTGGGTAATGGGCTTTGGAGTTTCCAATAACAGCGACATAAGCCGAAATTACCGAGACCAGAGCTTGAAACAGGCCGGGTTTCGCAAGTAATGGTCGCAAAACTACAAACTCGGTCATAGTCTTTTGGACTGCCCGTGGAGCACATCGGAATCATGGTTCCAGGTTCCATGTGTGGGTATGCATAACATGTTAGGTACACTTGGAGCCTCCTATAGCGATGATGACGAGAGCTTGACGTGTCATTCACATCATGTACGGTACTTGAACTTTGGGAGACGTTGGAGCGACACTGTCACAGCTAAGAACAACCTTTGCCTATTCAAACAAAATGTAGACTTTCGACAATTCCAGTCCATGCTACAACTCCCAATCCAGACCAACACGTCCATTCTCACGCGCAAAGTTGATGTCCCATATACACACTATGCGCACCAATCACTACCACCGGCCTCCAAACCCCCTAACAACCACACTGACCCACATCCCATCCCATCCCCTTTGAGAACCCAACTCAACCTGACGAACCAACTCCCCCACGCGCCTCCATCAAACACAAAAGCACCCCTCAGCGCCGTCGCCCACCATTTGCACAGTGAATCCACACATCCGTCCTGCAACGGGTCTGCAGCGCGAACACCGCATACATACAGTAGACGCCTGGGATTAGGTCTCGGGACGTGGTGGTGGGGGGTGGGTGTAACTGCAAGGAGTGGCGTACGAAGATAATAGATAGTAGTGCCGTGGAATGCGAGGGAGATGGAGGGTTAGGTGGGCGCTACGTATGTACGGTGTAGCGAAGTGCCTCGATGGTGCTTGGGGAAAGGTGCTTACTGGCACTTGGGTACCGGTAGGTAGAGTGTTTGCGCTGCGCGTGATGGATAAAAAGAGCGGGGGAGTTAGGTAGCCACATACATCTACGTTGCACAACCGCCACACAGTTTTTTGTACTTATTTGCGATTGAGGGCTAATTCTCAAGAGACTTTTTTTTGCAGTCAAAGAAGTTTGCAAATCTCTCGTGTTGTCTTCTCTTTCTTCTGGTCCTGCGCTTTTTGACACCTTTGGATGGTACTGTGTCAAGCGAGACTACCTTCACCGCCATGCAAGCGCCATTCCTTCACATACTCCTTCTCTCCCTCTCTTTAACCTCTACAACATTTGCAGCACCAAAACCATCCCTCTTGCCCCTCTTCACGCCAAACCCAAACCCGCAGCCACGCTCCCTTCACCCTCGCCCATTTCCATCCGAATCCCCATCCACAACCCAACTATGCACCTTTTCTCTCCACCACCGCCACCACGCCCCATCACCATCTACATCTTACATCCTTCCCCCCATCTTAACTGACCACGCCAACGCTCTCACCATCGACATTGCACTCCTCCGGCCCCGCGAAGCGTACCACAGTTTTGTGCGCGTGAGCGAGACGCGTGAGTTTAGGATTGCAGGGCTGCTTGGGGGGCAGAATCTGACGATTCGGGGGACGGAAGACGGAGGGTTGGTGTTCGGGGTGGACGGTGGGGCCTTGAGCCGACGCTTAAGCTGGCGGAGTGATGGGCTTGATGGAGAGAGGGAGGAAGAGGGCAAAGGGGAAGGGCGGGAAGCGTGGTGTGTGAGCGGGGAATGGAGTGTTGGCACCACGGGTATGAGTCGTGTGAGTCTTATTCTTTTCTCTCCCCCACCATTCTCGTCGGGATGGCAGTTGGATGGAAGGAGGAAGAGGAGGGAAGTGTCCACTGAGCTTGAGAGCCATACTAACACGCCCATCTCCCTCACTTCAGGAACGAAGACTCCACTGTGCTTTTCCCTGCGAGAAGATCTTCGACAAGGAAGGAGGGGGGGATGAGAGGGCGGACGATGAGAATGAGAGGGTTGAGCTTCGCTGATCCTTTGGGAAAAGAAAAAAAAAAAGTAAATCTGGCTGGTGCTTCGGACTGGGGTAGGGTTTGTATCGTACTTTGACACGTACTCTGACATGTCATACGCATGGAATACATAGCGACTGTATCCCCTACTCCCTACTCCATATGCAACAACCATAGCCACTCTCTTCTCCTCTTATAACCCAAGATTCAAGAATGTCATGCATGTATGCAGTCTTTCATCAGCCATCCACTGCAAGCCAGTGTGGTGTGAGACTAGATGTGATTGCTGTATGTGGCCTAGAAAGGGATGGCTGTCAACTGTGTTTCGGATAAGAAGGAAGAGGTGGGATATAGCGAATTATAGAGCGCAAGTCAGAGTGCAAGTACTGTTGCGAAGAGGTGACTGTGTGCGTAGTTCTTGCACAGAATGGCATAACATTGGGCTAGATTGTAAGGTCAGGTCAGACTATACCTTGAGGAACAAAGTCAAAGGGAGAGAGAGCCACCATAATCACAATTATAGAGTGATGGTTTCAAGTATTGTTTGCATTCATGACTATCCTAACCGGTCGGCCCTGAGCCCTGTCGCTCATCTCATCTCATACTCAACCGCATACACTCATACAGAGGCCTAATACCAATCCAAATCACAAAAGCAACGCCAATTCACGCCTCAAAACATCATAGCAGCGAACACCCAAGAGCACGCCCGCGATAGCAGACCATGCTCTACACCCGCAAATGCAAAGCCACCGGTAACCCAATGTTACCCCAAACCCCCACCCCGCCCAAAGAACCCAAACGGTTTTCCAAACCAGGTATACAGCGACTAGATAATTGAGAGATGAAATGGTCGAGAGAGTAAGACAAGTGTTCGAGTGAGAACGGTGGGAAGAAATGATGAGATCGCAAAGAGAGGCAAGGAAAGGAAAACTTCAAGACTCATGTCTATCATGACCAATGGTCTAAAAGTCCTCTTCAAAGCAAAAATCACCACTCTGACCCATGGGCACGGGCGCCGCAACAAGCGAACCATCAGCATTCTCTTCGTGTTTCTTGGTGCTCGCCATGACACCTGCCTTCTGGTAGTCACCGACGCGCTTCTCAAAAAAGTTGGTCTTGCCGGCTAGCGAAATGTTCTCCATGAAGTCAAAGGGGTTGGTCGCGTTGTAGAACTTGGTGTTGCCGAGCGACAGGAGCAAGCGGTCGGCGACAAACTCAATGTACTGGCACATGAGAGTAGCGTTCATACCGAGGAGTGCGCAAGGCAGCGCATCGGAGAGAAACTCCTTCTCGATCTCGACGGCCTCGGTGATGATGGCTTGGACGGATTCCTTGGAGGGGCGTGTGTTGAGGAGTGAGAAGAGGAGGCAAGCAAAGTCGGTGTGCATGCCTTCATCACGTGAGATGAGTTCGTTGGAGAAGGTGAGACCAGGCATCAGACCACGCTTCTTGAGCCAGAAGATGGAAGCAAAGGAGCCACTGAAGAAGATGCCCTCCACGGCAGCAAAGGCAACCAGGCGATTGGCAAAGGTGGAGTTCTTGTCCGAGATCCAGCGCAGGGCCCAGTCGGCCTTCTTACGAATGCAGGGAATGTTGTCAATGGCATTGAACAGGTACTTGCGCTGCCTAGGCTCGCTGATGTATGTGTCGATGAGGAGCGAGTATGTTTCCGAGTGGACGTTCTCCATCATGATCTGGAAACCGTAGAAGCATCGCGCCTCCGGTATTTGCACCTCGCCAGAGAAGCGCTCAACCAAGTTCTCGTTGACAATGCCATCGGAGGCGGCGAAAAAGGCAAGGACGTGGGAGATGAAGAAGCGCTCGTCATCATTCAATCTCTTGTTCCAGTCATGAAGGTCCTTGGAGAGATCGATCTCCTCTGCGGTCCAGAAGGATGCTTCGGCCTTCTTGTACATTTGCCAGACCTAGTGGGAGGATGACGTTAGTCATGGTTCATACCAAGGTGGATTGACGCGTGCCAGTACGCGTTTGACGCGTATATCACATGGGACAACTTACATCATGGTACTTGATGGGAAACAAGACAAAGCGTTGAGGGTTCTCCTGTAGTAGAGGCTCGTGTGCCTCCTCTGGTCGGATCGTTGGCGCAGTAGATGGCTTGTGGTCCGACGCGTCCTCTTCAAAATCTGGTATGCCGACAATGGGCCTGTAGACATTTTCCTTTTCTGCCAACGAGAGATTGAGCTTCTTTGCAGGTGAGTCGGTCATCTTGAGAGTGTCAATTGCAGCAGTCGCCTACATACGCGTTAGTCATGGCCGGGACGCGTCCGTAAAATAGTACTCGAGTTGCGCGACATACCTGCTTGGAAGGCGTTGACTGAAGAGCAGACATTGTGTGCGTGTGTAGGTGGGTAAAGGCTGGGTGAGGCTCTGGATTATCTATACACGGACGAGTGTAGGGTTTCAAAATAAAAGTCCTGGCGCGTGAGAGGAGTTGATGATGCTGTGGTGTGAGTAGGGAACAATGGCAGACGCGCTCTCTCTCTCTCTTAAAAGTACGATGTCCCGCTACCACGTGACTTGGCGAGCAACCTGCCGCCCCTCGCACGCGCCTTCCCATCGCGAAAAGACGCTATGACCTCATGGCCAAGCACCACCGATCGCTGCACTTTTCCACCACCTCGGCCCAGAAATCACAAGGAAAACTCGCGACAGGATACATAATCGACTGCGCTCGTTACAGTGGTACCCATATCGACTTTGCAAATACTCTGCATGGGCTACAATTCCTCGCCATGCCACTCTTCACCTTCACCCCAGCCACAGCTTTGATGCGAGACCGTCTGTGCAAAAACGCGTCTCAACGCGTTATGATTCGGCCTGCCTCCCCCACCCACCAAAACACCGCCAGGGGTCTGTGAAAGCCTATTGTACGCCGAGAATGAAAGCGCCAATACTCAGCCCATCCACTCTCAGTACAGTTCCTGCAATTGCACGAGCATGTCGCGGCTGGCGGCTGATTCAGGCCTTGCAAGTGCCACCGCCTTTGGCCGCTACAGGCATCGCACCGACTACGCTTTGCACCTGGCTTGCAGCTCCTTCGTGCCGTCCTCGGATCTGATAAGATTATCTTTTTGTCAAGCTGATGTGATCGGACGTGACGGCTTAAAGAAGCGCCCCACCGTACTCGTCACACTTTTGTCTTTGGGAGGATCGGTGCAAGGAGAACGCGTGTGCGTGTGCGTGCGCGTGGGACGCGTTTTGTACGTAAACTTGCTACCTTTTCTTTGCTGTCGATTTGACACTCAAGACCAATGTGATACCTTGATGATGAACTTGCCCAAGGAAATGCTACTTGCAACGCCTTTGACAATGCTTTTGAGTCTTGACCATGTCCTTGTCCAAGGAAGCAAAACCACCCATCAGCCAAGCATATTCTCCCAGTCCGGCACTACGACAAACTTGCCCTTGACCCTCCCCATGCTGATCGCATCCCCCGCCTCCTCTGGAACCACCCTATCTACCGGGGAGACAGCATGGATACTCACAACCTCCTGCAGAAACGACGCCTTGTTCCCAGGCGTGAGTTCGTAACTTGTTCCGCCCCAATCTAGTGTCGTATGACCTGATGCCCGGACACGTAGTTTGCCCACCAACCCACTGGCGAAGCGTGGGCCGTCGTGCGCCTTTGCAGAAGGGTCTGAGAAACTACCCTCCTCGAGCTTGATCTTGGTTCCGATCTTGGTTCCGGATTTGCCTGATGCTGGTGCCGGTGCCGGTGCCGGCGCGGGCGGTGCGACGATTGCGGTACTGGAAGGTTCGTCGGTTGATTCAAGTTTGAAGGATGGGGGGAGCAGTTCTGGCATCAGAGGGGGAACTTGGAAGAGGTAGACGTTATTGTCTCGTACAGTAGGCTTCTTTGCTTTGACGGCTCCATCTGCCATTTCAGTATCGCCATTCTCATCCACGGCCGGTGTCTCCTCTGGGCCAAGCTCTGCTCTGACAGATTGCAGATTGGACTGGAAGCGTGCCCATTCTGCGCGATCTTCATCGGTTTGTAGAATCGGCTCTGCGATGCTTTTCGTCCGTATCTTGGATCTGCGCTCCGCATTTGGCGATGCGGTTACTGACTCCTCGGTGGGTCGGGGAGCCTGCTCAGAAAGACCTGCTGGCTCGGATTCTGCCATAGCCTCATCATCGCTTATTGTCTCGGTCTTGACGGCAACTTTAGAGTCGTCTATATCTTGCCAGACACCTCTGAACGGTTTTCGCTCGCCTGTGATTTCAACTTCCTTCGCCTTTCCCTTCCGCGGAGCTGACTCCGACACTGCCTCTGTTGATAACTCGCCCTTTGATTCGGTTTTCTCGAGTATCTTTGCTGCAGTTTCCGAACTTGCATCTGTGTTGATGCCTACTGTACGTTCTTGGTGTTCCTTTCTGCCGATGCGAACAGGTAGTGTTGTGCGGGTTAGACGTTTCGATGGGGCGGCGGCGCCTTCATCTTCGTTCTCGTCGGATGAGATTTCGATGAGATCAATGTCTCTTCGCGGAAATTCTGCGTCACCGTCTTCTTCATCAGAGGAAACGTAGCCTCCGTCCTCTCTCTTGACAGAAGGACCTCCTCCGCCTCCACCTGATCGAGAGCCCGAGCCCGAGCCTCCATAGCCGTCTCCTTCATTTTTGACACGTACAGCTCGCGAGCCTGATCCACCTCCGTACCCCAACGGCCCACGGTTGGAATTGTTCTTCCGGTCTATAATTCCAATTAACATTGTCCATGCATGAACATTGGACGTGACATACCTTCCTTTGAGCTACCCAGTGAGAAAGGGCCGCTCACTGCAGCATGATAGCCACCTCTTGCACGCTGCTGCTTGTTCTGTTCCCTTCGATCCCTGAACTTCTGGTCGCGTCTCTTCTTCTCTTCCGCAGCATTGCGTTCAGCGTTTCTCAACTCTTCACGTTCCTTCAATTCTTTCGCCAGAGCCTCTCGCTCTTCCTTTGTCCGTCGACCTGTAAATGTCGGCTTTACCATGCCCCGCTTGCCACGAGTTACGCTTCCGCGTCCTCGTGCAGACGGTGAGGCAGATCGCGAGGGCGGCACCGAGCCCTGTAAGCCTCCGATTCTCTGGACAGGGGGGCGTGAAGATGATTCTACGTCATTGGAAGGATTAGGGAGATCACTGGGTTTCCACGTTAGCATTGCACCGCATGATGCGGTGGATGGTATAGCGTACGATGCATCTGCAGAAACGACTTGCGGTTCGACGGCTCCAGAGAGGTTCTCTCCGATGACCGGCACCTTTGTGTCTTCGCCATCTTCTTGCTTTGTTATCACGGATGCTGCTGGTGCCTCAATTGCAGCTGTCGCATCTGTGCTTTGCGGTGTTGCATCGTTGGTACCGGCAGCGGATCGCGCTGCTGCTGTTGCTCCCCCTCTGCTAGCTCCACGAGCGCGCGTAGCTCCTCTACCTCTTGAGGCCTTCGGAGGCATCACTGTCTGCTACCTTCAGGTTGTGTTGGTGGGCTGGATGAATCAGGATGCAGTGACTCGCGCAACTGCAAAACAATTTGGGGGTCTGCTTATCGATAAGCAGGGGGGGTATGAGAAACGCGACGTCACCTGTATTTTGTTTCACTTAGCCTGGAGATCCCATGGATAAACACAACCAGTAAGAAACGGCGCGACACAATGCAATATGATTCGTTTCAACTATATCGTTCCCAAAGCAACCTCTCTGGAAAGCAAACCACTAATTCTACCAATTACAAATTCTTTCGCGGTGCATGCTTCAAGGAATGGGGTTGTGTAGTAGGCGGATAACAGTTGTGTGGTATGTCGATGAGTTAAAGAAGCTTTGCTCCGCCAATGCTCGCACGCTATAGATGATGAGATACTTGCTTTCCGAAAAAAACGCCGACCGTCCAATATCATGGGTTGCCAACTTGTCCAAGAACTCTATGTGACAAGGGACCCTTCAACAACAAAGCGATAATGTAACTTCAAGAAGAAGGATGACAAATGTCGGTAGTGCTAGGTGATGATAGGGAGGCGATCAAGCCTATCACCCTTCGACGAGGGCCTTGGGGGTCTGGCCCAAAAGTCCAAGGCAGCGGCGGGCGAGGGTGACTACTTCGCCTTCGCCGTCCTCGTTGTCTTCGTCGTCAGATTCGATGTTGCGCTCGGCAATCTCAGTGACCATGTGTACGATCTCAGTGGAACTGCCAATGCGCTCCATCAGTTGCGTGTCCTCGGACTCGAGGAGCTGGAGCAGCGTCCAGATAGCGATGTGCTGAAAGGTCGGATCGCCGCTTGCGAGGAAGCGACGAAGGTATCCGTGAATACCGCCAGCCGGCTCGGTCCAGTTTTGAATGAAGATGGAGTAATCGCCCACTGCGTTCAGTCAGCAAACTTAGCCTCGAGATGGGTCCGATGCAGAAACTTACCTTTTGATGATAGATTACCAAGTGCAGCCGCACTGTTGCCCTGGACTTCTATGCTCTCTGACTCGGTGAGTGGAATCAAGACATCGAATACACCGAGGTTGAGGAGGTGCGGCTTGAGCTCTTCACTAAGAGCAAGTACAGCAATGGCAGCCGTCATCTCGGACTGCACGGGAAGTCGGACGTTGAGGACCAATTGCTTGCACTTTTGTACGGCGCCAGCCTCGAGTACCAACTCCTTGTTCTTGTCGGAACTAGCTGCGAGGTTGCGTAGCGTGGAAATTGCGTGGCATTGGATTTCATCGTTGTCCGTAGAGCCAAGCAAGTCTACTAACGGCCGAAGGAAGCCAGCTTCGATAATGGGCGACTCGTTGGCGGGGTGGATGGAGATGTTTCGTATACATGCAACAGCGGAAAGGATGAGGGGAAGGTAAGATGACTGCAACAGGCGGAGGAGAGACGGCAGACCACGAGCGCGTACGATTTCGAGCTGGTATCTTTCGTCGGAGGCTAGGTTACGCAGGGCCAGGGCAGCCTGACATTGGACCTTGGGCGAGGACGATTCCATCAGGTGCACCAAGGACCCCACCAATCGCCCTTCGGTTTGGGCCAATTTGGCGCGGTTGCTGGCGTCGACGGCTATGTTGCTCAGTGCGGTTGTGCAATAGTATTGGACGTCGACGTCTGGTGAGGAGAGGAGCTGAACGAGCACCGGTATCGCGCCAGCATTGACGAGCTGTTGCCGGTTATCGTCTGTGGGCAGGTGAGTATAGAGGATCGTGATCATGGCATGGCCAAGCTTGCCTACCAGAGTGTGTCATGTTCAGCAACGCGCCCGTGGCGTTTCTCTGAACTCGCATGTCCTTTGACTTTGCCAGCCGTGTGAGGGGCTGCAGGGCACCTGATCGTGCAATCTTGGCCTTGTTGTCCTCGTGGGTAGCCAGATTCGTGATGCATCCCACGGCATTACATTGCACCTCGACGTTGGGCGAGTTCATCTGTTTGATCAGGGGTGCAAGCCCTCCCAGTGCGACAATGGCCACCTTGTTCTCGGCTGCTGGGCGGTCAGTACTTTTTTCTGATGCGGCTCATGGGACCTACTGTTGACGGCCAAGTTGCCCAACGCCGCACTCGCAGCGCGCTGCACCTCGATATCTGGGTTCTGGAGAAGGAAGAGAATGGGCTCCAGGGTGTCTCGATCGACTTCTCTGACATCTGGAATGCTTCATCAGCGTATGTGTGGGTCGGGCAGGCGGAGACAGACGTGTACCTCGCTCTGTGATCTCGGCAAAGGTCAAGCTAGCTGACCGCTGCAAGTCGATGTTGTCGGAATAGACGAGGGTGCTCAGTGCGCGGAGGGGCTCGCCGGAGAAGAAGTCGGTTTCGGCTCGCTGCGAGGGCTCTCAGTCAGTATGGGACGGGATGGTGCAGTGTCTCGAGGGCGGGCAGGTCCTACATTCTCCAGGAAGCCGAGCAAGTCAGCTACGGCCTCGCGCTCGCTGTCGGCCAGCACAGGGTCGTAGAGGCTGTCTCTCGAGCGTCCTGCCATGCAGCATGTTAGTCATGATGGCGGGCACTGGGGCTGGCGCAGAGAGAAGGACTTACCGCCGCAGCAGTATGAGAAGAACTTGGAGAGTCCCATAGCGCCGGTGGACAGGCCGGGGCGGCCTTGGGGTTGTGCAGGGTCGGGAGTCGGGCGCTGAGCTGGGCGGAGCTTGGAGGGAGGAGGCTGCGGAGGGCGACAGCGGTGGCGCTTGTAAAAGGATACGGGGAGGGGGGTTGGATGGGTGGGTGGATGGACGGGCGGCGAGAGGGAGGTTGGCGATGGCTGCTCTTGTTGACTTGACCTCGTCACCTCTCCTGCGAGTCCTGCGGCTTCGACGATGCAACGCACACGCCCGCCCCGACGTGGACCCTAGCTCGAGCTGTAGCCGCCTTAGCTGGATGCGGTATCAAGCGCCAGCCTCACTTGGGCATCGCGCGGACGGCGGCAGTGTCGACTGGACCGATGTCCATCCCATCCATGCCCATGTGTGAAGGAGGCCACAACGGCCACAACGGCCACTACATGGTTAACTGGAGCCCATGGTAGAGTAGAGTAGTAGGTACCAGTCCAGTCCAGTCCACTATCTACGACATGGCCTACCCACCGACGGTAATGGATGCACATCTATCCTTTTGATGCTTCCTCGCCTCCCCAAATCAACAAAGGGTCATTGGGAAGTCCCTCGCCTAAACAGAGCTGGTTGCTCCACACGCTTACCCGCGTGGGCCATTGGGGCGCCGACTTGAGTGCTGGGGCAGTACTCTACTCTAGTAGTAGGTAGGTATTGGGATCCCAAGGTAGTGACAACGTCATGGACTTGGCGGACTCTTTGCAACGTGCATCGTTCTCTTTCTCTCCTGTGTGAATTCAGATGGAATCAGAGCAACATGACAACATGGGGTGCAAGTAGACAACAGGTACGGTGTCATGTAGGAGCTTCGCGGTGGGCCTACCTAGGACGGTGTACAACTCAACTTACATAAGTACCGTACCGGTACCTACCGAAGTGGACGGGACTTGGACGTCTTACTGGAGACTAGCGACTAGCAGTAGCAAAGCGAGTTGGCGCTGTTGTGACCACCAAAGAACAGAGTTGTCTAGTTGAGCCGCTGCCCTGCATGTCCCTTGACTTGCAGACTACAATTACACTGCACTGGGTGTGGACCATGACCACAGCGCGAGAGCCTTGTCGCCGACTGCACGGTATCGACTGTATACATGTACATATATATATATATATATATATATATACAAGGCACACCATCGGCAAGCATGGCTCAAGTACCCAAGTCCGTCATACCACACCGTGTTCAAGCATGGTTTGCGTGAGCCGACGCTGGCGTGAGCATCCCTCTGTACCTACCGTACTCATCGCCAGACCAGAGTCTCTGCGAACTCGCACCACCACCCGCCACCATGACCCGTGCCGTATGAAAGTACCAGGTAAAGTACCTGTCTGCAGGAATCTCTACCCAATTATACTCAACATCCAACAACCCAACACCCCAACGCCCAATACCCAATACTCTACCCAAGGATGCGGGGCACACAACCACCCGCTTGCACTCGCTCGTTTCTTATCTCGGCAACCAACAATCGCTGGTCCACTCAGCGTGCCCGGCCAGTATGTGTTAGAAAGCCAAATTTCTGCTGCTTCGCCTGCGGCCACTCACAACACGTCCATCATCCCCATCGGCTTACTGCACTCTTGCTGCTCATAGGCCCCCGAAAGACTGCCCAGCCATGCCATCCCCGTTCACGTGCCCAGCATGCACAAATTCCGACCCCCGCTCCGGTCCTCGCCGCTGCAAGTCCCCCCCCCACGGCCCATCGTCGACCATGGCCCGCCGCCGTGTTAACAACGACGGCCGTGCCTTCTAGATAGTGTGGACATCTTTTTGTATTATTGTTGTTATTATTATTATTTCATTTGGCTAACACGACTTCTTGACTCCTTTCACTCCTTCACTCCTCCCTTCACATCACCACCAAATTCTTTTTTACCACTCTTCGCCGGTAGCGTACCCATCTTTTTTTTTTCTTGCGGGCGCGACCATCCAGTGTACCGGGCGCTAGTAGGACAAGCAACTTCCAGGACATAATCGCATTACCTTTTGCTCCCGAAATTGCTCTTTGCGCCGCGACCTGCACCCCACGATCGTCGCATATTAATACTCACGTCGCCGGCGAGCGCTGCGAGGTTTGCTTCCACCGTACTGTGAAACGATGTAATGGCCCCCTCGGCGTCCTCACACAATTTCCAGAAGCTTAAACTCAAAACCTCGTCGCCCGCCAAACCTGTCGTCTCTACCTTTGCCTCGTTCCCTCGCCAGGAATGCCCGCAGCCGGCTACTAAGCATGCTGCTACGCCGCCGCAAGACATTTACGAGGCTGCCGCCCTCACTCGCGTCCCTGGTGACCGCAATGGCCGCTCCTTTGGCGGCAGCAGTGCCCTAGGCAGCAGTGGGAGCGACGAAGACGATGCGCTGGCCAGGTTCAACGAGCGGCGGCCGTCCATCACTTTCAACAGCGAAGTCAAGCTCGACAATGGCGAACGCCATGCGCTCGAGGTGCCCATCCCCAAAGCATCGCGAGGATCACGTTCACGCACGCCCGAGGAGGGCAGCTACTCTGATCGAGAGTACCTCGAGATGCCCTACCATGTGCGTAGGCACAGACAGTACGGTGTCGGCGAGGCCACCTATCCTCTTGCACAGCCTACCGTCCATGACTTGGCAAAGAATCCCGAATACATCGACCAGGTCGCATCCCTCACCTCGGCCACTACCGCCTCTCCTCTGCTTGAGGAAGCCCAGACGCCTCTCGAGACCCCGACCGACTTTATCCTCTCCCCCTTGGGGGCCACGTCTCCCTCTGACTTTCCGCTCTTTGCACGGCGGAACGTGCCGGTGAGAAACAAGAGCTATCGGTCCGAAATAGGAGAAGAGGGCAGCTTACGGCGCGCAAGTCGTCGATCCTCCACACGCTCGGGTCGCTCCCTGTCGTCCATGTCGCCGGCTGCTTCGTTTCTGGCACGCTACAAAGCCTCCGAGGCGCCCATCAAGCCAAGCGAACCCGACGACGAAGGCCAAGGCATAGGCTACGAGGGTGAATACATCATTGGCAAGCAAATCGGTTATGGTGGTTTCAGTATCGTCAAGGAGGTTACGAGCATGGAAGACGGCAAGCCTGTGGTCAATGCCGTCAAGATTGTGCGCAAGACACAGCAGGACAAGTCCGAGCTTGAGAATGAACGTATTCAATCCCAGTTCGATCACGAGGTGGAGATCTGGCGGTTCTTGCGACATCCCTACATTCTTCCTCTGCTTAGAGTGTACACTACCGAGTTTGCTACCTTTTGTATCACAAAGCTGAACAAGGGGGGCACTCTCTTCGATCTGATCCGGGAGACGCGCCGTCAGAAAAAGTCTGGTCTCCCGGCCCATCTAGTGAAGCGCTATGCTTACCAGCTGGCCTCGGCGATGCGCTACCTGCACAACGATGTTCAAGTCGTCCATCGCGACATCAAGCTCGAGAACTGCCTCGTTGATAGGACGGGCCCAGATTCCGATCGTGATGGAGGCAACCTCCTGCTTTGTGACTTTGGCATGGCCGACTTCATTGTGAGCGACCAACGTGATGGTCCAGAGCCCATTTCCAGTGGCGACAATCTCAACATTGGTCCTGCAAACACTAGCACGTCCTTTGCAGGCAGCTTACAGTACGCCGCTCCCGAGCTCTTCAGTGCTACCACCCCCCTTTTTTCGCCAGCGGCCGACATGTGGGCCTTTGGTGTCGTTGTCTTTGCGCTGCTCACGGCCAGACTGCCCTTTGACGATGGGCTTGACATAAAGACGACCGAGAAGATTCTGCGTGGCGAATGGGATGAAGAGCTCATTCGCAACGCAGAAGCCGTCAAAGGAGGTTGTCCCGAGGACGCTTTAGCTCTCGTCAAAGGTTGTCTCGCAATGGACCCTGAGCAACGCTGGACCGTCAACGATGTCTTACATTGCCCCTGGCTTGCCGAGTCTGCCCAACAGTTTGAACATGTCAACTGTGACTGGGTTGCCGGCTCCTAGCAAGATGGCAAGTCTTGCTGCACGCTTGAAATCTCATGTTACTGCGCGTTTTTCCAATACCCTGCATTTGTTTCCTTCCCATCTCTCTACCTCCGGTATTCAGCATTTTTCCTCCTCAGGTTTTCTCTGTTGGTTCTGGATACCCCGCTCAATTGTCTCGTTCCTGTGTCTTTCTGGTCGATATGTGGGGAGTTGGGCTTACCAGGTGTGCGGTCGAAATGAAGTCTTTCAGCACATTGCATTTGTTCTTACACATCCTTTGGTCAGGCGATTATTGGGTACCCCGAGAAGTGGTATTATGGATTGCGTACTTTCTTAGTGTTTAAGAAACTCCTCGATGCTCAGTAGATGCTAATAATCTCACTATACCCAAAATTGCGAACATCCCCTGGCTTTCTAACTCATGTGGCATCGGCCTTGTAGACTCTTTCTCTCGGTCTCTCTAGTAATAGGACAGACCATGGTTTCATACATACACGTGGCAACACATTCGCGCCTACATCTCACCACGCCTCCGTGAGACTGGCGCCCAACAGTTCGCGTGTGCACATGTACTACATGATCCTGCCATGTCATATTGATATCAACGCTCCCCACCCCTAATTACGCGCCACTGTATTCTCGGATAATTTCTGCCTCACACTTCCCCCGCTTTTGTTTCCACACCACCTGCCACCGCTGTCATCTGCATCCTCCCGAACGCCATCCCCGTGTTCCACAAGCATTTGCTCTCTCGACTGCACAACCACGCAACCTGCATTGCACACTTCAACTACACGCCTGCTTCCCAATGGCGCAAGGCCACAACCATAAGCTATCTTAGTCTCTGTACGAGTACAACGCTGTATGAATGGGACCACGTCACTTGTACGCAAGATCCATTCGTCTTTGGTACCTGATTTACGCTTCAACAACGTGGCAAAACAAAGCGGTCATGGGCATCGTGAGGCTGCACACTCATGCCTTGGCTGGTAGTATAGTTGGCCGCCGTCCTGGGCCCTACATTAGATGCGCTGCGGTTGGAGTAAATCACGTCCTGCAGCTCAATCTGGCTTGGGTGGTTGAGTCTATCCCGGTAGTCGCTTGGCCTTGACGTTGAACGGTAGGGTAGAGTAGGGTACCGTACAGTACCGGGAGCTAGCTGCAGGACAAGCGTCAAGAGCCTTTGTCTGCTCGCTTGTTCCTGCGCATCTCACCAGTTTTATAGGACGCTTGCACGGTACGCCAATGAAGTTGTGGTTCTGCTCTTGCGACAACAATCAATCTTGCTGGCCCGATTGAATTCGAAAGACTGACTTGCCATCTATCAGTACCGGTACCGTACCGTACGCAACAAAAGTTGTACTTTCCACACTACAAGGACTTTTGAGGTCTTATGTTTTTCAGTCATCATCTACAGGCCTTCACAATCTTGGGCAATTTCTAATACCGGCAATGCGAGTCTTCGGTCTCCAGAATCTAAACAGTGCATTCTATAACTAGCCAAGGGCTTACCACAGCCCTAGCCCTCAACCGTGACCCAGACATTGACCGTTTACATTGCAGTCGGGCGCTTGGCAGCGGCAAACTAGCACTGTTCACTCGACATCTAGGGAGTCATCTCTTTAGTTCACACTGGCACGAGGCGGAGGTTCTCGGTGCCTGATCCAGGACTTATGTGCTATGGATGGTTGTTACAAGAAGTACTCTATAGGGTGACATAGGATTGTAGGCAAGTACGAAGCTTCGGTGAGATGTAAACGTAGCTGATTATACCGTAGTGAACTTCCATCGATTCTCCAAGTAGGTACACTTTATGTAAATACTAAAAACACCAATTTTTTTGAAAGCAGCTACAATTTGCCTTTACTTGCAATACAGGCAATACAAACAGCCTATTTTTTGGTTACATGGCTTCGTTGGACTAGACCTTACGTCCTAAAACTTCTGCAACAATTTTAAGAAATGCTACGGTGTTTAAGCATTCTCTTCTAACGGATTCCTCACCGCTCAAGGTATAATCTATGATTTGGGTGTCTTCATTATACTGTAATAGTGTCCAGTCGTAAGAAATGTCCGCTTGTCCCGTCAGGTAGTGCCTGCCACCCGCAAATTTATCGGTCATGGGGGCTACCTATGGGTAAAACCTCTAATTCGAGCATAGATTGTTGTACTCAATTCCTCTTATACCTCATCTCTGTCTCTGTTCGCTTTCATAATACTTTAAATACTTTGATTGACGGAGATTCAGTCATTGCTAATATTTAGTATCACATTTGGCGGCTTGTTTGCCACCGTACTGCAGATTGGGTCTACGTTCTTCCCAGCGCGCCCTGCGGCCTTGCCACTCGCGGTCAAGTCAGCATACTTTAGTGCTTGGCTTCCTGCAGGAAGCAATGATAACAAGGGTGGCTATCTTCCTGGTCGGTGGCCAACATTCTGGACGTACACACATGCATACTCACGACAATGCTGGCCAGAGCTATTCTTATGCAGGCGCCAGTATCTTGGATGGACTGGATTGATAGAGTTCGATGGGAAGGCTTTGACGTGGATGGGCGCCCCGAGTTAAGTCAAGGACTTGGTGAACCAGACATTTTATGAATATACATCGACGAGCAGCGTCTTCATACTCAGAGTGGATAACAAGATCGAGCGCAAGGTCACGTTTCTTTCGCCACTGACTCCAATGAACATCAAGCGACTAATACTCAAACTGTTTAGGTCATCTAACCAACTTCGCCTTTCTTCCTTTATACGAATCCGGAGTTGATGACCATGCTCCTGACCTGAAACCGCACTTCGAGCATCAGGAACATGGTTGGTATCCTTAAAAAATCTGCCATACATGGTTTGCGCATCCAATATTCAACAGATGATTTTGCCGGCAAACTTGAGATTCAAACCAATCTTGCATTGAGAGGAATCATTGGTCTCGAAGCCATGTCGCACATTTCCAAGCTCGTCGGCGAGACCGCAGACGCCACCAACTTCACCGAAATCGCACATGAATACCTGACCAAATGGAAACAACTAGGCATCAACCATGACGCCAAACCTCCACATTCAACTCTCACATACAACAAGTCCACCCACGGTGTCCTCCACAACCTTAATAATAATGACCGCCTCCTCAACCTCAACTTCATCCCCAAAGACATCTACACCATGTAATCCAAATTCTACCCAACCCTCCTCGACAAATACGGCGTCCCCCTCGATACGCGAAACCGCCACCGGACGAAGACCAACTGGCAAGTCTTCTGCGCTGCAGTTGCGAGCACAGACACGCGTGACAAGTTCATCAATGCGATTGCGAGATTTGTGCAAGAACGTCCTTGGGGGTTTTTTTTGACATCACTGCATCGCATCTTGAGTGTGTAATGTGCATAATATGGGTGTTTGGAGGAAGGGGCGGGTGGAACGTCTGGGGCATGAGGGAAAAGGGAAGCTGATGCGGAGAGAGTGTTGGAAAAGGGGAAGGGGGCATATGAATAGGAGGGGCGAGTGAGGAGGAGAAGGAGAAGGGAAAAAAGTCAATGCACAGGGTTTACTATGGCACCCTTTTGGGTGGTGGCATGTCATATGACCATGGGTTTAGCGTCGGGCGACTTGGGCTTTACTCCGAGTGGTTAGAATATCCCTGTAGGTTCAAGTCCACGTCACAGCGGCAAATTTTTATGGTTATATAAACTAGCCTATAGTTAAGTATAAATTAGGGTATTTTAAGCAAGTAAACGCAGTTTTTGTTACTATCTTTTTTAAATATATTCTAAACCTATTCTTAATAATATATAGGCGTTCCTAAATACTATACTAGAGTTTAGTATAGCAGTACTAGACAACGTATCTAAACTAGATAGTAATATTAGAGATGAATTTAGGCAACTATATAAAGTGCTAGAGGAGGATAGTAGTAGTAGTATTAAGGAAGTAAGTAAAAGTAAATAGAATAAGTTTAGAATAGGTTAGTAACACGTTACAGGGGCATAATATATACCTTACTTGTAGTAATAGTTAAGGACTACTACTTACACTAGTAATTATTAAGCATGCAGCTATTCTCCTAGCATACCCTTAATTATATAGCTAAGGGTATAGGTATATAATACTAGTTTAGTAATATAAAGATAGCTCTTACCTAATAAGAGAAGAGGTGCTTGTGCAGGCTACATAGGTAATACGTTAAGAACACGTTCTTAAATTGTTCTCTAAATTCTAGCAGGTACAATACTCCCGCTAGTCTGTCTATCTTAACAGGCCTATAACTTTACTATTCTTTAATAGCTAGCTAGCAAGCTAGTATAAATACTAATACTCTAGGGTAAAAGCGTGTAAGTATCTTAAGAACACGTTATAAACGTGTTCTTATTACGTTGTTAATAACGCATTGTATAATTAGATCTAAACCTTAAAAAGTGTAGTACCTAAGAAAATTCTACAAAGAGAACTACAAATAAGAAGCTATTATTATAGCCTTATTAAGCGCTTCTCTTTAAGGATTTGTAAGGACTACTAGGTGTCTTATTATCCTATAATAAGGACTATAGTAAATTAGGTAGGGAGCAAAACTTAAACATGTTTAAAATGTGTTAATAATAAGTTAGCAAATTATAGAACAGGCTTAACTATATATTAGCTGTTAGAACTATAGCCTAATATCTGCTACTAGGAAAAAACATTATTTTAGTTAGGTACTACTAGAGGTAGACTCTATATATCTACCAACAGGTCTTCTAACTAGGGAGATATTAAATCTTTCTAGTAGTCCTGCTTTATGTTCTGTGGTTAAGCTACAGTTAAGCTAGATAAAGAAGTGTGGTAGGTATATTGCAACCTATTCCTAACACGTTCCTAACATGTTCTAGGCGTTAATTATCTACAAGGGCAAGGATCTCTGTTTAAAATCCTGTGTAAAGTTACCTTCTAAGTAATTATACTAATAGATATAGTAGCAATACCTTTTTTTACTATTATTTCTTTTAGTATACATATATATATACCTCCTCCTCCCTTAACACTATCTAATAGTAATATTAAGGAAGTAGTAAAGGTGTTATGGCCTATGCTTACTCCGCAGCTTATATAATATAAGTTGTTTGCAACCTGTTATAAACGTGTTCCTAACTTGTTATAGCCTAGTTCCTAAACTTAACCTAGCTCTAAACCTATCTCTAACTTAAAGGTTTCTATTCTATTAAAGAAATGCATATTAGCTTTGCAAATAAAGATAAAATCTTGCGTATTATAAAGCGTGAAAAGCTTCTATAGTTCCTATTTAAGAGTAGCCTTAGAGGAGTACACTATAAGTAGAGGACAAAGCATTAGGATCCTAAAACTATACGTGGTGTAAGAGAACAGGTTTAGAACACGTTGCTAACACGTTACTATAGGCGTATATACAGCAAATCTTTATATTAAGCTTAGGTAACTTAATTATTTGCCTTTTTAAAGAGTAGGCATTAATTCTATTAAATTAAGACATATTCTAGATAGATATATTATATAAGAGGTTGTATAGGGTATAGGTAGAGATTCTAATAGTAATCTTCTACCTACAGGAAAAGAAGCGTATGTATTAAGAACAGGTTTATAACACGTTTCTAACACGTTATAGTTATTACACTTAGCTAAATTATTATAGATAAGGATATAACTAAGATATATTAAGTTACTATTACTAACTTCTTTTAGAAGTGTAAAGCACTTATAAAAAGATAAGTGTTATAGAGGTATATTTACTCACAGGGATTCTATAGGACTACTATTAATCATGTGTAACAAGTAGATAACAGGCAAGTTTCACAGCGCACTATAATATGTTTGTAACGTGTTTCTAACTTGTTTCTAGGACTTAGGCGCTATCTCTAGTTAATTAATCCCTATAAGCGTAACTAGTGCTAGCAACTTTAATCTTGTATAAGATTTTATTAAGTATATCTATAAAGAAGTATTTATAAAGTATGTAAAAGAGAGCTAGATAATACTACCTCTTTACGTCTAAGTGAATTACTACAGGCATTAATAGTAGAGGAATACTTTTAGCTTGCTAACCTCCTCTTATATAAGTAAACACATTCTAAACCTATTCTAAACATGTTCCTAACTCGTTCTTATATAATTAGAATACGAACCCTCTAAAGATGCCTAAAACTAGGCAATCTATAAGAAAAACCTAGTAATTGCTGCTAGGATTGTGCAATGCTATAGTAAAATATTAAAAGAGGTATAGGAAAAACTAGAATCTTATTTAAATATAGCTAAGCAAGCAGGCTAGAAAGGATATAAAACTAGTAAGCATATAAGTATTCTTAAGGCTACTTAGAAGTAAGTTTATAACCTATTCTTAACCTGTTAGAATTGTATAAGTAACATCGTGTAGTGCATACTAGATAGATCTATAGGATATAAAAGAGTTTAAAGCCTAGAGCAAGTTTAGAATACGCTATAACTATAGAACTCCTAATAGGCTTAAGCAAAGGTACCTTAAAAAGCTTTAGAGGGGAGAAAGTAAGTCTTACGCTAGCGTTATATATATTTACTAATTAAAACGTGTTTAGAATATGTTTAGAACGCGTCCTATAATAATAATAACACTTTAGATAATAATAAAGCAAGTCTTGCTATATCTAACTTAACTAGATATATCTTAGTCCTAATAAGAAATAAAAGAGCACGCTTAAAAGCCTAAAGCTAGAGGGCAAGTAGTAGAGCGGTATTAGAAAGAAGTTTACTAGCCCCTTTTCTATCTTCTCTACTACTAGGCTCTTCTCCTCTACTAACAGTAACCTAAAGGTATGCTTTGCGAAACACGTTTATAACACGTTCCTAACTTATTATTAGTCTATAACTATAAACTTTATAATAAAAGGCTCTTCTTAGTAATTAGGCTCTAAAGGAGAGAAAAGAAAAGCTAGAGGTAGATAAGGAAGAACTTATATAGAAAAAGGCACTATTTAAATTATAAAAGGCATAGTTTAAACTTAAGAAAGAGATAGCTACTTTTTATATAAGGTAGGGTTAGTCTATAAATATAGTAACTAGTTCCTAACTAGTTCTTAACATATTCTAGTCTATTATATAAGCATATATAAGCGGATAAATATATATTCTTTCTTCTTCTCTTTCTTCTTCTTTCTTCTTACACTCTACAAGAACTTTTTATATTTAAGAGTTTAATACTATTCTTACTATCTATCTTTCCTAATATTATTAGATATAACTAGTTAATATAGTCTATAAAGATCTTTTAAAGTTAGTATATAATAGAACGCGTTAGGAACACGTTATGAACTTATTCTAATACTAAGTAGGATTTATACTAGTAATATATTAAGCTTAAGTCACTTCTATCTAATACTAGGGCATTCTCTCCTATAATATCCTACCTAAATAATAGGTGTATAGTATTTCCTAGCGAGCTTTTCTACTAGGCTATTTAGGCTAGATTAGGGGTACAGGAACTTTGTAGAGTATATATACATGCGAGTTAGAACACGTTTATAACATATTAACAACTATTTTAGCGTCACTTCTCTAATAGAGGTAATCTTATCTACTACCTTAAGAGGTATTATCCTAAGGTTCAAATAGCCCTAGTAAACTGTGGCAGAACCACAATATAAGGCACTGCAGAAGCAAGGATCTTCTATAGGAGCTTAATAGTAAATACTTAAGAACGTGTTCTAAACACGTTAATAATATATTCTCTACTAGTAGAGTAGACTGCACTAAGTGCCTCCTCTAAGGTTTAAGAACCCTCTAAGATAGCTAGTCTATAATAAGAAGTAGTAGCTAGAGTAGAGGCTAAAGAGGAAGTAGAGAGTAAAGAAGAGGAGCAAATAGTTACTCCCCTTTACACTATAAATAATATTTAGCAAAAGTAGTAAAAAGGAGATATAAGTCTAGTCTCTTAAAATACGTTTAGAACATATTAATAATACGTTATAGCTAGATACCTATAAATACTAGATTCTTCTTTAATCTAAGAGACTGCTAGAGCTTTATAATACCTATAAAAGTTAAAAGAAAAAGTTATATACTATTAAAGGACCCTGTAAAAGTAAATAGTACTTTACTTTTAGTAGATAGAAAAAAAAAGAGAAGAGTAGAGAGTTTATTTTAGCAATTACTACTACCCCTTTAGGTTATATGCTATTATATATTATTTATTA